CTATACTCTACCAATCAAGCCCAGTGACACTCCATTTATTTTCCATCACTCGAACACTGAAAAGTAAAAAGATATATGAAATCAGATCCATTAAATTCTAAGATTTGATTTACATTTCTAATTAAAGTTGTTTTTGATCATACGTATAGATAATTATATAAAAATTCCAAAATTCTAAAATTTCAAATACATACAAAAAAATCATATGTAAATTTTAAATTTGTGAATATTAAAATTTTATATTTTAATTACATATATTCACCCTGCGCAAGGCGCAGGTCTTATCCTAGTTAAATATGTTAATATGGTGTGCAAAAACATTCTTTACATAAAGAAAGACTTCGGTTTGCACAAAGCATAAGAAATTATATTTTCCGAAGACTTGTTGGGTAATTAGACGTTTCAGTGGTTCAGTTGACCTTTAAATCGGTAGAAGCCATCAAATATTATTTTGGTCAAATTTCCAAAAAATATCCAAGAAATGTTTTTAATATAACCAAAAATAGTTTCACTAAAAAGATGATAAAATTATACCGTTATCTCTATATATATATAAATATAAATAAATTAATAAAAATTAAAAAAGTAATTCTTGTAAAAAAATTTATTTAACTCCCTTCAAAATTTTTACAAATTTTCTGAATTTATTTTAAGATCCATTTAAAAAAAAACTTTTAGCATTATTATATTAACTTTTAACTCATATTATATATATATATATATTTTTTTTTTTTAATTCAAAACACTACCCTAAAATCTAAAATTAAGTTTAGATTAGTTTTTTTTTTATAACACTGCAATATTTGATTATACAAGAGGATACATAGAAAGATAACCAAAAAGAGAATATAAGATGTCACTAGACCCCAATCAAAAATCGAAGGGTTTTTACCTCTTTAATGAAATATATTTTGTTTTTAAACTCTTGTATGCTATATTTTGTGTTTTTAGTGTTATCCTATGATATTTCTCTTTTATTTTGTTAAGATATTGAGAAGTTTTGTAATATCAAATTGTTTCGTATTATTCATCGGACCTCAAGGTCTCTATTTATATTACAAGGATTTCCTAATTGCTATTGAGAACATG